TTGAGTCTGGATCTCTGCATCTGCTTCCATCAGTTATTGGATGAAGGCTCTATGATGACAGTTAGGTGAATTACATTGACAGATTTTTATATGTTGAACCATCCTTGCATCTCTGGGATGAAGCCTACTTGATCACGGTGGATGATGTTTCTGATGCATTCTTGGGTTCAATCTTCCAATATTTTATTGAGTATTTTTGCATCAATGTTCATGAGGGAGATTGTTCTGTAATTCTCTTTCTTGGTTGCATCTTTGTATGGTTTATGTATCAGGGTAATTATAGCCTCACAAAAGGAGTTTGGCAACGTTCCTTCTGTTTCTATTGTGTGGAACAATTTGAGGAGTATTGGTATTGGCTCTTCTTGGAATTCTGGTAGAATTCTGTGCTGAAACCATCTTGCCCTAGGCTGCTTTTTTTTTTTTGGTTGGGACTTTTAATGATTGTTTCTATATCCTTAGGGGTTATAGGTCCATTTAAATAATTTATCTGGTCTTGATATAATTTTGGTATGTGGTATCTATCCAGAAAATTGTCAATTTCTTTTACATTTTCCAATTTTGTGGGGTACAGGTTTTTGAAGTATGACCTGATGATTCTCTGTATTTTCTCAGTGTCTGTCATTATATTCCCCTTTGCATTTCTGATTTTATTAATTTGGATATTCTCTCTTTGCCCTTTGATTAGTTTGGATAAGGGTTTGTCTATCTTGTTGATTTTCTCAAAGAACCAACTCTTTGTTTCGTTGATTCTGTTTAATGCTCTCTTTGTTTCTATTTTATTGATTTCCACCCTCAATTTGATTATTTTCTGGCATCTATTCCTCCTGGGTTAGTTTGCTTCTTTTTGTTCTAGAGTTTCAGGTGTGCTGTTAAGGTGCTAATGTGAGATTATCCTAAATGCTTTATGTAGGCTCTTAGTGCTATGAACTTTCTTCTTAGCATTGCCTTCATAGTGTCCCATAAGTTTGGGTATGTTGTGCATTCATTTTCATTGAATTCTAGGAAGTCTTTAATTTCTTTCTTTATATGTTCCTTAACCCAGCAGTGATTCCGTTGAGCATTATTCAGTTTCCATGAATTTGTAGGCTTTCTGTGATTTGTGTTGTTGTTGAATTCTAACTTTAAGCCCTGGTGATCTGATGTGATACAGGAATTTATTCCATTTTTTTTTTTGTATCTGTTGAGATTTGCTTTGTGACCAAGTATATGGTCAATTTTAGAGATGGTTCCACAAAGTGATGAGAAGAAGGTATATTCTTTTGTGTTTGGGTGGAATGTTCTACAGATGTCTGTTAAATCCATTTGAGTGATAATATCTGTTAGTTTCCTTATTTCTCTATTAAGTTTCTGTCAGCAGACCTGTCCATTGGGGAGAGTAGGGGGTTGAAGTCTCCCACTATTAGTATTTGATGTGCCATTTAAGCTTTAGTAGTATTGCTTTTACATATGTGGGTGCCCTTGTATTTTGGGCATAAACATTCAGAACTGAGACTTAATCTTGACTGGATTTTTCCTGTGATGAATATGAAATGTCCTTCTCCATCTCTTCTGATTAATTTTAGTTTAAAGTCTATTTGTTAGATATTAGGATAGCTATACCAGCTTGGTTCTTAGGTCCATTTGATTGGAAGATCTTTTCCCAACCATTTACTCTGAGGTAATGTCTGTCTTTCAAGTTGAGGTGTGTTTCTTGTATGCAGCAGAAGGATGTATCCTGTTTTGTATCCATTCTGTTAGCCTGTGTCTTTTTATAGGCAAGTTGAGTCCATTGATATTAAGGGATATTAATGACCAGTGATTGTTATTTCCCATTATTTTTTGGTGGTAGTATGTGTGTGTTTCTTTTCTTTGGGAATTGCTGGTGTGATATTACATATTAATTGTGTTTTTGTGGGTGCATCTAACTTCAATGGGTTTGAGTTTTCCTTCTAGTCCTTTCTGTAGGGCTGGATTTGTGGACAGGTATTGTTTAAATCTGTTTTTTCCCCATGGGATATTTTGTTTTCTCTATCTATGGTGATTTAAATTTTTGCTGGGTATAGTAGTCTGGGTTGGCATCCATGGTCTCTTAGGGTCTGTATAACATCTGTCCAGGACTTTCTGGCTTTTAGAGTCATGAGTAATCAGGTGTTATTCTGATGGGTCTGCCCTTGTATGTTACTTGGCTTTTTTCCATTACAGCTCTTAATATTTTTTCGTTATTCTGTATGTTTAGTTGTTTGATTATTATGTGGTGAGGGGACTTTTTTGGGGTCCCAGTCTATTTTCTATTTAGTGTTCTGTAAGCTTATTGTATCTTCATAGGCATTTCCTTCTTTAGGTTGGAAACGTTTTCTTCTATTTTTTTGAATATTTTCTGTGCCTTTGAGCTGGAATTCTCCTTCTTCTATCACTATTATTCTTAGGTTTGGTCTTTTCATGGTGTCCTAGATTTCCTGGACATTTTGTGTTATGACTTTGTTGGCTTTAATGTTTTCTTTGACCAATGAATCTATTTCCTCTGTCATATCTTCAATGCCAGAGATTATCTCTTCCATCTCTTGTGTTCTTTTGGTTATGCTTGCATCTGTAGTTTCTGTTCATTTACCCATATTTTCCATTTACAGAATTCAACTTTTCCATGTCAATCAAATTTTTCATGTTCAGTGAGATATATGTGTAGTCTTCAGCAATAGGGCCAAACCATCAGGTTGTAGTGAACAAACAGTAGCCTTGGCAGTAGCTGTGATGTGTTGGGGCTTCAATGGGTCCTTTTGGCCAATGATTCAAGATATAAACTATTCCAAGTACTGGAGGTTTTACTTAGTGGCTTAAGATGTCAAGTTGGAGCAATGTCTCCATTATTTTGTGACTTCATCTAGATTACTTTCATATATGTACATCCACATATAAGAAAAAATATACAAAATTGGCTTTTGGGATCTGGATTACCTCAGGATGATTTTTTTCTAGCTCCATCCATTTGTTTGCAAATTTCATTTTTTAACAGCTAAATAATATTCCATTGTGCAAATGTACATATTTTCATTATCCATTTATCAGTTGATGGACATTTAGGCTATTTCTAATTTTTAGCTATTAGGAACAGAGCAGCAGTGAACATGGGTGAGCAAGCATCTCTGTAGTAAGATGTCAAATATTCAAGTATATACCCAAGAATTGTATAACAGGATTTTGAGGTAGATCAATTCCCAGCATCCTGAGGAATTAGCGCATTGATTTCCATAGTGGTGGCACCAGTTTGCACTCCCAATGGCAATGAGTAAATGTTTGTGGATGTGTGTCTGTGTGTTGATAAATGTATGTGAGTGCAGGTGTCCCAAGAGGCTAGGAAGGCATCAGATCCCCTGGAACTGGAATTGCAGAGTTGTGAGCCACCCAATATGGGTTCTGGGAACTGAACTCTGGTCCTCTAGAAAAGCAGTACACTTTTTAACTGCTGAACTATCTCTCTAATCCCTTTCTTTCTCTTGTTAAGTCACTATTTCTAATAGTGTTTAATGATGGCGAAATGGACACCTTTGTGTTGTTCTTAACTATCAGATAGTTTTTTTATCTTTCATTGTATTTGTATGTTATGTTATACTTTAGATTGTGTAAGTTTTAGTTTATTATCTAAGTAAAACTCTGTGTCATGAAATATTCTAGTAGGTGGGATTCCTCACATCCCAATATCAAAATAATACTACAGTTAATATGAAAGAATATACCACCCACTGCCAAAATGAGGAATCATATTAAATGTTTTATTATGGTAGAGTTTGGTAGGATTCTCACTCTTACCCTGCAAAGGCCACAACCTACATGTGACTGCAGAATACCCCTCCCCTGAAGTTGTGGAGCTATGGGTGGTAGATGCCAGAATCTTCAGTTTCTCAGTAAGTTTCTGTTCCAGGTCTATGATTTTTACAGTGGTCTACTCTAACTTCCTAGCTCTGGTGTTCACTCATGGCCACTCATCTCAGATTATAACAACATCTATTGTTGTGGTTCCTCCTTAGAGAAGAGGTGATGGCATGGTACCTTCCTTCCACCATTTTGAAATGTTTTATATTCTCACTCAGGAATTTCTCTTTAGTTTGAATTCCACAAGGAAGGTCAAGAAAAACAGTTTGAATTAGGGGCAAAGAAATGCAGGGCATAAAATTCTGTTTAGAAACTTGTTACTCTTTTACTAAATATGTTTTGTTTGGCCTTTTCTTTGAAACTGCAAACATGGGAAAAATTTTAAGCTCTAAACTAGTTTTGACATTCTGGAAATTACCATTGGTACAATAGTAGTAGTTAACTTTCTGCTGAAGTTAGTATCTTGTACATATTTTTCTGTTTCATTTTTTTTACTGTTCATAACAAATTTATGAGTTTTCTCCTTCTAGTAAGGAACAATTACTTTTATTCTATAGGAAATGTAGGTGTTCCATAACCTCCACTGGCATGGATATTTCTATTCATGTATTTGACAGAGAAAGTCTATAGCACAAAAATCTTATTCCTAGAGCTTGGACTACATTAGGAAATGGACATTTGGAATTATATTTATTTTTTTCTGTCTTGATAATGATTAATAAAAACATTTCTAGTCAATTCAGTATAAAGTCTTCCTTGGACAGTAAAGAAGGGAGAAAAGGACTAGGTGTGGTTGATTTTCTTCCTTCTTTTGACTTTGCATTATTAGCTTCTGAGTATGTTACTGCTATTAGTTGCCCAGAGAGAGAAGAAAAATGTACACTTGACCCCTTGGCATGGAGTTATGTTTGTAGAAATAAAAATAGAGAAAATATATTCAGGTGAAAAGTTTATTGTCAAATTTTAATCTAGTACAATTTTCTGATTCTTCTATGTAGGAAATCATGACAATAAATTCAATAGTAATACAGAGTTGCAGTGCTGACACAAAAGATGAAAGTATTCTGAATCTCCACCCAGGAAACAATCAAATTCTTTGTTCAGGACATGGAATGTGTTATAATATTGCTAGAAAAATTGTGACTCCGAAACTATGTCCTTTGCTTCTTGGATAAGTTTTTAATCAAAAAATTTCAACAGCATGTGGAAAACCCAAATGCTTATCTTAGAGAAGTTTTAAATATTCGTTTTAATTCCCAAACACCAAAATCATACATTTTAATCTTGTATTTCTGAATACAGTTCCAGTACTTTTTACTTTGTTTACTTTCTTCTGTCCAAGAAGCTCAGTGTCTATGGAGTCCTACAAAAAGATCTTTCACCAAACAACATCAAAATAGTAGTACAGTTAATATGAAAGAATATACCACCTACTGCCAAAATGAGGAATCATGTTTAATGTTTTATTATCTTATGTGCATCTACTTTTTTCTTTGATTTAGTTCTTATCTTGGTTTAACATATTTTATACTGGCTTCTCAATAAAAATAATGGTATCTTTGTTCTTGGACATATGTGTACAGTGGAGTGTTGCTATCTACGTAGGCAGAACCTAAGTTCATTTCCCTCTTTTCCTGGTAATGGCTGGATTCAGAGTCTCTTGTCTCGTTGTCATCTACATATTGACTATATTTTCTGATGGTCCCTGATGGATGATAACCTGGCTCCTGTCCTAGTCTTCCCTCACCAAATGCGGTTACACTTGGTAAATATTTACACTCTTCAGTTCCCATAGAGTATAGGCTCTGAAGAGAGTTATTGGGAGAAGATCTTGGATTTGCGTATCTGCTGTCACCTGACAGCTGGTAGCTGTCACTTGATTGGCCATGGCTATACACTTGCCTTTTATTGGTGCCGAATCCAGATTGATTTCCAATTGAATTGGATTCTGAATGTTCCTGAAATGATGTATATTGACTATGGCCGAAACCAGATTGGTCAATTGGCTGGCTTAGAGTAGTTTCTTGTTTTCCTTTTATACTATATCCATATTTAGTATCAGAGTCATGTAAATGTTCAAGTGTTACTGGGGATCGGGGATGATGAGACACAACATTTCCAGTTGCGCTATAATCAGTAAGATTGTAGGGGTCAAGGGAATGCCCAGGATTAGTGTCCGACTCTCTGTATTTTAAAACCAGCCCTCCCATTCCTTCATGTCCTTTGGCTCCAGCATGGTGAGAAAGAGAGAAAGACTGTCTATATGTTGACATTCGTGGACTGCAAGATCTAGGAGATGACCTCAGAGGACTAGAATTGCGGCTGCTAGTTCTGCTGCCCCCAGAAGGTCCATAGCCTGACTGGCCATAGTCATACGCCTCACAGCCATAGCTGCCATGTCTCCAATGATGACTAGAATCATACTGGTGTCTAGAACTGGCTGACTGAAAACTCTTTGTTCCAGAGGGCCTTTGGGGAGACATCTGTCCTCCATGAGTTCGAGACCCAGAATCTCCATGCTGAACTCCACCATGAACTTGAGAGGATTGAGAATATCTCCTGGAAACTGATGAGTGCTGTTCACCATCAGTGGACTCAGGATGAACAGGTGCCCCTCTGGGACTTCTCCCAGAACCTGAATGTGAGGGCTGCTGATGTCCAGAATGAGGCTGTCTACTACTGTCCCTAGATTGCCTTAACGGATGTCCCTGTGGTCCTTGACCTGGGGACCCAGACTGTCCATGCTGAACTCCACCAGGAACTTGAGTGGATCCTGAGTGTCTCCTGGAAACTACTGTATGTTCCTCATCCTCACTGGACTCAGGATGAACAGGTTCCCCTCTGGGACTTCTCCCAGAACCTGAATGTGAGGGCTGCTGATGTCCAGAATGAGGCTGTCTAGTGCTGTCCCTAGACTGCCTTTCTGGGTGTCCCTGTGGTCCATGACCTGGGGACCCAGACTGCCCAAGCTGAACTCCACCATGACCTTGAGTGGATCCTGAGTGTCTCCTGGAAACTACTGAGTGTTGTTCACCCTCACTGGACTCAGGATGAACAGGTTCCCCTCTGGGACTTCTCCCAGAACCTGAATGTGAGGGCTGCTGATGTCCAGAATTAGGCTGTCTACTGCTGTCCCTAGACTGTCTTTCTAGATGTCCCTGTGGTCCTTGACCTGGGGACCCAGACTGTCCATGCTGAACTCCACCATGACCTTGAGTGGATCCTGAGTGTCTCCTGGAAACTACTGAATGTTCCTCACCCTCACTGGACTCAGACTGAACAGGTTCCCCTCTGGGACTTCTCCCAGGACCTGAATGTGAGGGCTGCTGATGTCCAGAATGAGGCTGTCTACTGCTGTCCCTAGACTGTCTTTCCGGATGTCCCTGTGGTACTTGACCTGGGGAACCAGACTGTCCATGCTGAACTCCACCATGACCTTGAGTGGATCTTGAGTGTCTCCTGGAAACTACTGAATGTTGTTCACCCTCACTAGACTCAGACTGAACAGGTTCTCCTCTGGGACTTCTCCCAGAAACTGAATGTGAGGGCTGCTGATGTCCAGCCTGAGGCTGTCTACTGCTGTCCCTAGACTGCCTTTCTGGATGTGCCTGTGGTCCTTGACCTGGCGATCCAGACTGTCCATGCTGAACTCCACCATGACCTTGAGTGGATCCTGAGTGTCTCCTGGAAACTACTGAATGTTGTTCACCCTCACTAGACTCAGACTGAACAGGTGCCCCTCTGGGACTTCTCCCAGAACCTGAATGTGAGGGCTGCTGATGTCCAGCCTGAGGCTGTCTACTGCTGTCCCTAGACTGCCTTTCCGGATGTCCCTGTGGTCCATGACCTGGGGACCCAGACTGTCCATGCTGAACTCCACCATGACCTTGAGTGGATCCTGAGTGTCTCCTGGAAACTACTGAGTGTTGTTCACCCTCACTGGACTCAGGATGAACAGGTTCTCCTCTGGGACTTCTCCCAGAACCTGAATGTGAGGGCTGCTGATGTCCAGCCTGAGGCTGTCTACTGCTGTCCCTAGACTGCCTTTCCGGGTGTCCCTGTGGTCCATGACCTGGGGACCCAGACTGTCCATGCTGAACTCCACCATGACCTTGAGTGGATCCTGAGTGTCTCCTGGAAACTACTGAATGTTCCTCACCCTCACTAGACTCAGAATGAACAGGTTCCCCTCTGGGACTTCTCCCAGAACCTGAATGTGAGGGCTGCTGATGTCCAGCCTGAGGCTGTCTACTGCTGTCCCTAGACTGTCTTTCCGGATATCCCTGTGATCCTTGACCTGGGGAACCAGACTGTCCATGCTGAACTCCACCATGACCTTGAGTGGATCTTGAGTGTCTCCTGGAAACTACTGAATGTTGTTCACCCTCACTAGACTCAGACTGAACAGGTTCCCCTCTGGGACTTCTCCCAGAACCTGAATGTGAGGGCTGCTGATGTCCAGCCTGAGGCTGTCTACTGCTGTCCCTAGACTGCCTTTCCGGATGTGCCTGTGGTCCTTGACCTGGGGACCCAGACTGTCCATGCTGAACTCCACCATGACCTTGAGTGGATCCTGAGTGTCTCCTGGAAACTACTGAGTGTTGTTCACCCTCACTGGACTCAGGATGAACAGGTTCCCCTCTGGGACTTCTCCCAGAAACTGAATGTGAGGGCTGCTGATGTCCAGAATGAGGCTGTCTACTGCTGTCCCTAGACTGTCTTTCCGGATGTCCCTGTGGTCCTTGACCTGGGGAACCAGACTGTCCATGCTGAACTCCACCATGACCTTGAGTGGATCTTGAGTGTCTCCTGGAAACTACTGAATGTTGTTCACCCTCACTAGACTCAGACTGAACAGGTTCTCCTCTGGGACTTCTCCCAGAACCTGAATGTGAGGGCTGCTGATGTCCAGCCTGAGGCTGTCTACTGCTGTCCCTAGACTGTCTTTCCGGATATCCCTGTGGTCCTTGACCTGGGGACCCAGACTGTCCATGCTGAACTCCACCATGACCTTGAGTGGATCCTGAGTGTCTCCTGGAAACTACTGAATGTTCCTCACCCTCACTGGACTCAGGATGAACATGTTCCCCTCTGGGACTTCTCCCAGAACCTGAATGTGAGGGCTGCTGATGTCCAGCCTGAGGCTGTCTACTGCTGTCCCTAGACTCCCTTTCCGGATGTCCCTGTGGTCCATGACCTGGGGACCCAGACTGTCCATGCTGAACTCCACCATGACCTTGAGTGGATCCTGAGTGTCTCCTGGAAATTACTGAATGTTGTTCACCCTCACTAGACTCAGACTGAACAGGTTCTCCTCTGGGACTTCTCCCAGAAACTGAATGTGAGGGCTGCTGATGTCCAGCCTGAGGCTGTCTACTGCTGTCCCTAGACTGCCTTTCTGGATGTGCCTGTGGTCCTTGACCTGGCGATCCAGACTGTCCATGCTGAACTCCACCATGACCTTGAGTGGATCCTGAGTGTCTCCTGGAAACTACTGAATGTTGTTCACCCTCACTAGACTCAGACTGAACAGGTGCCCCTCTGGGACTTCTCCCAGAACCTGAATGTGAGGGCTGCTGATGTCCAGCCTGAGGCTGTCTACTGCTGTCCCTAGACTGCCTTTCCGGATGTCCCTGTGGTCCATGACCTGGGGACCCAGACTGTCCATGCTGAACTCCACCATGACCTTGAGTGGATCCTGAGTGTCTCCTGGAAACTACTGAGTGTTGTTCACCCTCACTGGACTCAGGATGAACAGGTTCTCCTCTGGGACTTCTCCCAGAACCTGAATGTGAGGGCTGCTGATGTCCAGCCTGAGGCTGTCTACTGCTGTCCCTAGACTGCCTTTCCGGGTGTCCCTGTGGTCCATGACCTGGGGACCCAGACTGTCCATGCTGAACTCCACCATGACCTTGAGTGGATCCTGAGTGTCTCCTGGAAACTACTGAATGTTCCTCACCCTCACTAGAATCAGAATGAACAGGTTCCCCTCTGGGACTTCTCCCAGAACCTGAATGTGAGGGCTGCTGATGTCCAGCCTGAGGCTGTCTACTGCTGTCCCTAGACTGTCTTTCCGGATATCCCTGTGATCCTTGACCTGGGGAACCAGACTGTCCATGCTGAACTCCACCATGACCTTGAGTGGATCTTGAGTGTCTCCTGGAAACTACTGAATGTTGTTCACCCTCACTAGACTCAGACTGAACAGGTTCCCCTCTGGGACTTCTCCCAGAACCTGAATGTGAGGGCTGCTGATGTCCAGCCTGAGGCTGTCTACTGCTGTCCCTAGACTGCCTTTCCGGATGTGCCTGTGGTCCTTGACCTGGGGACCCAGACTGTCCATGCTGAACTCCACCATGACCTTGAGTGGATCCTGAGTGTCTCCTGGAAACTACTGAGTGTTGTTCACCCTCACTGGACTCAGGATGAACAGGTTCCCCTCTGGGACTTCTCCCAGAAACTGAATGTGAGGGCTGCTGATGTCCAGAATGAGGCTGTCTACTGCTGTCCCTAGACTGTCTTTCCGGATGTCCCTGTGGTCCTTGACCTGGGGAACCAGACTGTCCATGCTGAACTCCACCATGACCTTGAGTGGATCTTGAGTGTCTCCTGGAAACTACTGAATGTTGTTCACCCTCACTAGACTCAGACTGAACAGGTTCTCCTCTGGGACTTCTCCCAGAACCTGAATGTGAGGGCTGCTGATGTCCAGCCTGAGGCTGTCTACTGCTGTCCCTAGACTGTCTTTCCGGATGTCCCTGTGGTCCTTGACCTGGGGACCCAGACTGTCCATGCTGAACTCCACCATGACCTTGAGTGGATCCTGAGTGTCTCCTGGAAACTACTGAATGTTCCTCACCCTCACTGGACTCAGGATGAACATGTTCCCCTCTGGGACTTCTCCCAGAACCTGAATGTGAGGGCTGCTGATGTCCAGCCTGAGGCTGTCTACTGCTGTCCCTAGACTCCCTTTCCGGATGTCCCTGTGGTCCATGACCTGGGGACCCAGACTGTCCATGCTGAACTCCACCATGACCTTGAGTGGATCCTGAGTGTCTCCTGGAAACTACTGAGTGTTGTTCACCCTCACTGGACTCAGGATGAACAGGTTCCCCTCTGGGACTTCTCCCAGAACCTGAATGTGAGGGCTGCTGATGTCCAGCCTGAGGCTGTCTACTGCTGTCCCTAGACTGTCTTTCCGGATGTCCCTGTGGTCCTTGACCTGGGGACCCAGACTGTCCATGCTGAACTCCACCATGACCTTGAGTGGATCTTGAGTGTCTCCTGGAAACTACTGAATGTTGTTCACCCTCACTAGACTCAGACTGAACAGGTGCCCCTCTGGGACTTCTCCCAGAACCTGAATATGAGGGCTGCTGATGTCCAGCCTGAGGCTGTCTACTGCTGTCCCTAGACTGTCTTTCTGGATGTGCCTGTGGTCCTTGACCTGGGGACCCAGACTGTCCATGCTGAACTCCACCATGACCTTGAGTGGATCCTGAGTGTCTCCTGGAAACTACTGAGTGTTGTTCACCCTCACTGGACTCAGGATGAACAGGTTCCCCTCTGGGACTTCTCCCAGAACCTGAATGTGAGGGCTGCTGATGTCCAGCCTGAGGCTGTCTACTGCTGTCCCTAGACTGCCTTTCCGGGTGTCCCTGTGGTCCATGACCTGGGGACCCAGACTGTCCATGCTGAACTCCACCATGACCTTGAGTGGATCCTGAGTGTCTCCTGGAAACTACTGAATGTTCCTCACCCTCACTAGACTCAGAATGAACAGGTTCCCCTCTGGGACTTCTCCCAGAACCTGAATGTGAGGGCTGCTGATGTCCAGAATGAGGCTGTCTACTGCTGTCCCTAGACTGTCTTTCCGGGTGTCCCTGTGGTCCTTGACCTGGGGACCCAGACTGTCCATGCTGAACTCCACCATGACCTTGAGTGGATCCTGAGTGTCTCCTGGAAACTACTGAGTGTTGTTCACCCTCACTGGACTCAGGATGAACAGGTTCCCTTCTGGGACTTCTCCCAGAACCTGAATATGAGGGCTGCTGATGTCCAGAATTAGGCTGTCTACTGCTGTCCCTAGACTGTCTTTCCGGGTGTCCCTGTGGTCCTTGACCTGGGGAACCAGACTGTCCATGCTGAACTCCACCATGACCTTGAGTGGATCCTGAGTGTCTCCTGGAAACTACTGAATGTTCCTCACCCTCACTAGACTCAGACTGAACAGGTTCCCCTCTGGGACTTCTCCCAGAACCTGAATGTGAGGGCTGCTGATGTCCAGCCTGAGGCTGTCTACTGCTGTCCCTAGACTGCCTTTCTGGATGTGCCTGTGGTCCTTGACCTGGGGACCCAGACTGTCCATGCTGAACTCCACCATGACCTTGAGTGGATCCTGAGTGTCTCCTGGAAACTACTGAATGTTCCTCACCCTCACTGGACTCAGGATGAACAGGTTCCCCTCTGGGACTTCTCCCAGAACCTGAATGTGAGGGCTGCTGATGTCCAGAATTAGGCTGTCTACTGCTGTCCCTAGACTGTCTTTCCGGGTGTCCCTGTGGTCCATGACCTGGGGACCCAGACTTTCCATGCTGAACTCCACCATGACCTTGAGTGGATCCTGAGTGTCTCCTGGAAACTACTGAGTGTTGTTCACCCTCACTGGACTCAGGATGAACAGGTTCCCCTCTGGGACTTCTCCCAGAACCTGAATGTGAGGGCTGCTGATGTCCAGAATGAGGCTGTCTACTGCTGTCCCTAGACTGTCTTTCCGGGTGTCCCTGTGGTCCTTGACCTGGGGACCCAGACTGTCCATGCTGAACTCCACCATGACCTTGAGTGGATCCTGAGTGTCTCCTGGAAACTACTGAATGTTCCTCACCCTCACTAGACTCAGAATGAGCAGGTTCCCCTCTGGGACTTCTCCCAGAACCTGAATGTGAGGGCTGCTGATGTCCAGAATGAGGCTGTCTAGTGCTGTCCCTAGACTGTCTTTCCGGATGTCCCTGTGGTCCTTGACCTGGGGAACCAGACTGTCCATGCTGAACTCTACCATGACCTTGAGTGGATCTTGAGTGTCTCCTGGAAACTACTGAATGTTGTTCACCCTCACTAGACTCAGACTGAACAGGTTCCCCTCTGGGACTTCTCCCAGAACCTGAATGTGAGGGCTGCTGATGTCCAGCCTGAGGCTGTCTACTGCTGTCCCTAGACTGCCTTTCCGGATGTGCCTGTGGTCCTTGACCTGGGGACCCAGACTGTCCATGCTGAACTCCACCATGACCTTGAGTGGATCCTGAGTGTCTCCTGGAAACTACTGAATGTTCCTCACCCTCACTGGACTCAGGATGAACAGGTGCTCCTCTGGGACTTCTCCCAGATCCTGATTTTGAGCGCTGTTTTTGCTCATTCTGATTCTGTCTCCTGCTGTCTCTTGAGTGTTCCTGTGATTTTTCCTGTTTTCCATCAAACTTTGATTTTGATTGTCCATGCTGAAATTCCTCATATCCAGACCCCTGTTGACCAGGTCCAGATGACTGACCATATCTAGTCCTCTGTTTCCATGATTTAGATGATTGACCTGAACCAGACTCATGTTTCTCATTCTCTGATGACTCACTTGTGCCAACTTCATGCTGACTAGAGCTAGATGACTGACTTGAGCCTGAAGACCCTTGAGGCCAAGAGCTATTTTTCTGATGAGAACTTGACCCATGATGCCCAGAGCTAGATGACTCACCTGAACCAGACTCATGCTGCCCAGAACTTGGTGACTGACCAGAACTGGATCCATGACGCCCAGAGCTAGATGACTGACCATAATGAGACCCATGCTGACCAGAAGTTTTAGACTGACCAGATCCTGACCCATGAAGCCCAGAGCTAGGTGACTGACCTGGTCCTGATGACCCATGATGGTAAGGGCTAGATGACTGACCAGAACTGGACCCATGATTCCCAGAACTAGATGACTGACCAGAACAAGACCCATGATGCCCAGAGCTAGAAGACTGAGCACAACCAGACTCATGTTGCCCCAAACCAGATGACTGACCCAAGTGAGACCCATGTTGACTACAACCTGAGGCTTGACCTGAGGTAGTACCATGTTGTCCACAGCAAGACTGACCTGATCCATGCCCATGTTGTTCAAAGCCAGAAGACTGCCTTGAATTTGTTCCATGTTGTTCACAGCATGTTGACTTCCCTGAACCAGACCCATGCTGGCCATACTTGGAAAATTCATTGGAACTACATCCCTTTTGATGACAGCTTGAAGGGTGTCTACAGGACCTGGTTCCATGTTGATCATAACCAGAAGATTGAGTTGCTCCAGACCCACAGCATGATGAATGACATGAGCCCATCCTCTGCTGACTTCCACAGTTCTGAGGTTGACCACATTGTTTAGATCCATACCCTCTCTGACTAGAAGACTGGCTACAGGATCTATGTTCAGGTTGACAACATCTAGAGGACTGACCTCCTGAGACACATCCATAGCCTTGTCCTCTGCTAGTTCCTGACTGACATCTTGACTGGGTACAGCAAGATTGCTTTCCTTGCCCCCCAGAGCTACTTGCCTGACAAGAACTTGAAGCATTTTGTGGCTTGCAACATCCACCAGAAATGCTGTAACCACATGTATGACTTTGTACCTTACTATTTCCTGAACTTGAAGAGCTAGGCCCAAGCTTTTGTTCTTCACCCTTTCTTGACTGAGTAGAATTTGATTTATGTTTGTTCTTCTCCAGTCCATGTGACAATCCACTATGACCTTTTCTTCCCTGACTGTTTAACCTAGATCCAGATTCATATTCTTCCCCAGACTCACTAGAGGACCTACCATGTGAGTTTCTTTTTCCTTCTAACTCTTCAGAGCTAGAACCATGTCTCTCTTTGTTACTGTTCCAAGAGTGACCAGAGATAGACCCATGGTGTTTTTCCCTAAGTTCCTCTGAGCTGGAGAATTCACCTTGCCTTTCCAGCCACCTAGGGTTGGACCTACGTCTACGTTTTCCAGTTCCTGATGAGCTCCCAGAACTATGTCCATGCTCCTCTCCCTCACTCCAACTTGAATGTCTCAAACCTGATTTCTGTTTCGGTGTCTCCTCTTCCTCTTCTGTTTCACTTTCTTCCTTTCGCTGTTGATGACCATGTCTATGCTTCTTTGACCCTGAAGCTTTACAGTATTCTTTTCCAAGAACCTTGTTGCAGGCCATAGCCAGTTTGAATACCATCAGAAGAAACTCAGTAAAGTCTAGTCTTCGGTCATGATCTCGATCCAGCATATGCATGATGACATCTACTGTGTCTGGATCATCTGGATTCTGTATATGAGAGACACATCAAGGAAGACTTGGTTAGCCCAGCCTTATTCTCAGCTAAAATAACCTAGTATTACCTAGTATATATTGTGTGTTATATGATTTTAATTCATTTGAGTATTACTTTAGGTTAATAGGACCTAGCATATATGAAGGGTTAATAGAAAATAAAGACCATTGTGATCTGTGGAAGAAGATGACATTCCTTTATAATATTGTTCCACATTTGTTAGAATAACCAATCAATCAATCAATTGGCTAATTTCTTAGCACAAATTTATTTATTTACTTGGGATGGGAAGCCTGAGTGTATGAGAAAGTTGGGTTCTAAAAAGTGGAAGGGCACAGGAATGTATGGAAGAAACATCTATCTTTAAAAAATATACACAGATTTAATAGATTTATGATGCCCTAGTTCAAAAGTTTATTCCTTGGGTTTTCTCAAAATCAGCTGGGGCTGGGCACTTTCCCACTAATTTTGATCTTTACAGAACCCCAGAAGCCTTCAGACTTGGCCTATACCTTCAAAATTGGACGAAACTCTTTCTCCAGAAGTTCCTTTAGCTCATCCTTGCTCAGTGTGCCACATTCTCCATCTTGCTTGGTGTATTTGTAGAATATATCAATGACAGTGACAACACTTCTTAAGAGGTCTGTCATCTTGTTTTCCCCAAGTTTAAATGAACCTAGAGAGAGAAAGAAACAGAGATAGAGATAGAAAGAAAGGGTCAGAAAGGGGTCTCATTATCTTTCAATTTACTAACAGGTCTTATTTTAATGTAATGTAGTGGTTCTCAACCTCCCTAATGCTGAGACCCTTTAATACAGTTCCTCATGTTGTAATTATTTTCACTGCTACTTCATAACTGTAATTTTGCTACTGTTATGAATCATAATGTAAATATATTATATGTAGGATATCTGATCTATGATCCCTATGAAAGGGGTCATGACCTACAGGTTGAGAACTGCTGGTAAAATAACTTAAAACCTCTTCTCTTTCTTCAACCTCCACGTATAAGTATGGCTCAGGGTTTCTGTAACGTCAGTCAACACAGTGGGGACTTTGGGCATGTTCCTAGACCAGCTGGGATGATCTCAGCTCTACATATCATTTATTTGATTAATATATTCTCGATATAATATCTCTGAGTATATTGGTGTCCGGTGTTACTGTGGACTTTCAAATTTCCAAGTCTGTCTTGTCTCTTCTGCTTTCTCCTATTCTTTTCTCTCCATACCTCTTCTTGCCCCTTCTTTTCTTTTCTCTCTTTTTTTCCTTTTCATTTATTTCCTGACATGTGTGTGATACATGTATGTGTTTGTGTGGGTGTGCATGCACATTTGTGTTTGGGGATACAATGTGTATATATGGGCATGTGTGTGGAAATCAAATCATCCTTCACATTGTTTTTATATCTTTCCTTTATATGCGAGTGAATCATGTATGTTATGTAAGTGTGTGTATGATATGTGAGAGTTTGTATGTGTGTTTGTATTTGTGCATGAGATCAGGCACACATGTGCCATGGTGCATGTGTGGAGATCAGAGGAAAACCTCAGCACTTTCCACATTGTTTGAGTCAGGGTTTCCTCCCCCCCCCCCCCCCCCCCCCCCCCCCCCCCCGCCCCAGGCAGAGTTTCTCTGTGTAGTTTTGGAGCTTGTCCTGGATCTCACTCTATAGACCAGAATGGCCTCAAACTCACAGAGATCCTCCTGGCTCTGCCTCCTGAGTGCTGGGATTAAAGGCATACGCCACTGCCGCCTGGCCTCTTGGTTTCCTTTTTGTATGATGTGTGTTGCCAGATTAGCTATAGGAACATTGGGATTTTAGATGTGCACTACTGTGCCCAGCTATGTATGGGTTCTAGGCATTTGAACTTGGGCCCCCACATTTGTACTAGAAGTTCTTTAGACACTGAGCCGTTCCTCCAGTCTTCCACCTTGTATTTGAGACAAGGTCTCTCAGGGAACCTGGAGCTCATTGACTTGGCTAGATTGGCTAGCAAATGAGCTCTGGAGAGCCAGCAGCTTCTCTCCCTAACCCAGCACTGGATTACAAACACATGCTACCACACCCAGCTTTTACATAGGTGCTCAGATTGGCTAGCAAATGAGCTCTGGAGAGCCAGCAGCTTCTCTCCCTAACCCAGCACTGGATTACAAACACATGCTACCACACCCAGCTTTTACATAGGTGCTCAGATTGGCTAGCAAATGAGCTCTGGAGAGCCAGCAGCTTCTCTCCCTAACCCAGCACTGGATTACAAACACATGCTACCACACCCAGCTTTTACATAGGTGCTCTGCATCTGAACGCAGGCCCTTATGCATGTGTGGCCGGCACTTTAACCTGTTCAGTTATTTGCTCAGGCTCTTTTCTTTTCTCTCTTCCTTTCCTTTCCCTTCCTTCTGTTCTTTCTTCAGTCCTTTCTTTCTTTATTTTTATTTTAGAGACAGGATCTCATGTAGCTCAGGATGGCCTCAAAAAGTTCCTTGGTAGCAAAGTTTGGCAATTGACTCCTGATCTCCCTTGCTTCCACCTCCCAAGTGGCAGAATTACATGCATGTTCCCCCATTCCCAGCTGGGGCAAAAGTGGCAGATGCCTTAACATCTAAATCCTTTTTGTTCATCAGAAAGCAAACTAGACCCAAAAGTCCTAAGGAAAATTAAAAATGGGCAAAGTGTCTCAATAATACCTTGGTACTTTAGAACCTAGAGATAGTATCGCCCTTATCCCAAGTCAGAAACTGGCACAATACCAGCCCTCAATCAAACACTATTCCTTTTAAACATTAGCAATCCAGACAAGATGACATATGGAAAAATTAGGGAGACTATGAGATGGTCTAGAACAGCGGTTCTCAACATTCCTAATGCTGTGATCCTTTCATATAATTCCTCAGGTTGTAGCGACCCCCCCCAATCATAAATTTATTTTTGTTGCAACTCCATAGCTCTAATTTTGCTACTATTATGGATCACAATGTAAATATCTGATATACAGGATATCTGACATGCGGCCCTGGTAAAAGGTTGTTTGACCTCCAAAGGGGTCATGACCTGCAGATTGAGAACCTCTGGCCTAGACAAAGACAGACTTCTACTCGATTTATTCTCCTCAATAAAGACATATCGATTTCTAAAGACTCAGAATAAACTAAATTAACCAACCCAAACAGCAAACCAAAAATAAAAGAAGCAACAACAAAAGGAAAAGTAGCAAAATATGATAGTTTCTATGCCTGAGCTCAGACTTAGCTCAGGATATCTGGCACAAGAGCACCAAATCCTATAGATTTAAATTCCTCTCACCTGGTTCACCAAAGGAACAAGTAGGATAAGGCCTGATGCAGCTTGCAGGGTGTCGATAGATTGGGACAGTGACCCTTATATAGCTTCTAGCTTGGGTGCTGTCTTCTGTGGGATGGGCTGATTCATTTCTAATCTAACTTGACTCCACCCCTTGCATGTTTATCTTCCTTCTTCACATTCTCGTCTGTAAGGTGATTGCAGAAAGGGTGTTAATGGCCTCGCCTTCCACAACAGAGACCTGCTCTGGACACTCTCCTTTAGGGTCCTACACAGTGAGAAGCAGAGACCTCGCTGTGGAGGACTGATTTGTGCAATTGGTTTTCATTATCTAGTGTTCAAAGAAGATAGCAGAATGTAAGATACTTGGCAGGTGCACAGTGAAGGGTTTTTTTTTGAATTGCAAATGACCCAGGCCACTAAGCTTACTCAATTCACGGCTTTTGCAATAATATTATGCTACCATTTGTTGAGAATTTACTGTATTCAGATACTGTGTTGAACATAACTCTCTTATCATGTTGTCTCATAACATTTGCATGTGTATGTTTTTCGCCACATCACAAATGAAGACATAGGTTTAAAAGCATTCAAAGTCATAGTTATATGCTGAAAGTGTCGAGATTTGAACATATAACTATCTTATTGAACGCTGTTGCTGTAACCATTATGTTAGTGCAACCTTATTATATAACCATTATGCATAAATGAATCAGATTTATACCATATGTACACCATTTTAAGAATGCCAGGTCTACTGAAACACAATAATATGAAAGGCTAAAGTATGAGATGCTGCAAGCCATGAAAAGAAGAAATATTCTCTGGTTCTGTGTTAGCTACTTTTTTTGACTATCCAAGTGTAGGGTCTGTAAGTAAAAGTAATGTTTTTAAAAATAAGTGTTTAAGATGACTTTAGAGCAGGACTTTCTTCCAGTGCCCTATATTCACTGGTAGTCTGGCATCTCTTGGGAAAGTATGTGTACATAATGTATATCATGTGTGTTTAAGGGTAGCAAAATAATTAGAAAACTGCATTAGGCATGATAAATCACCTCTTCTGTACTCACCACCACGAAATGGTAACAGCAGCTGTCATTAGTGAAGTGATTACTGTCTTCTGTTTTTGCTTACTTTTCTATTTTTATTTCTCAAGTAAATTTGTAAGGTCAATACTATTGTCGCCTCCTTTACAGATCATGAAATGGAAGCATAAAAAAAATTTAAATTGGGACAAAAATCACAGTGGCATCAGAAGGAAAAGTGACTCACCCTACTGGATGCTAAAGCCTGGCCTAGAGTTTCAGGTTCACCACATGTCTGGGGTCTGTCATCTTCTGTCTGGGTACTGCCTTGGGGACAGGTATTATCCAGGCAGTCCCTAGAGCTTGGCAGCCACATAGAATGAATATCTTTTCACAGACCTGCTAATGGATTTGCCCCTGAAAGACACCATTGCTCCTATAACCAAGGGACTCCTAAGCTAACACAGCCACAGAAAGTTAGGTTTTTCCCATGGATATTATAGTCCTTCTAAGTTGTGTGGCTCCTTTGGAATGGTGTTTCTTTTTTGTGAAAGTAGTTTTATCAGGAAGACTTTGGTGCCTTTCATCTATCCTGAATTAAATTTAGAGCCAGTCCTGTACTGGATCCCAGCATTCATTTAGAACTTGGAAACTTTTCCATAGCCTGCTGACTCAGAACTTTAGCAATTCATTTTTTTTTTGATATTCTTTGTGTTCAGTCTTTCTTCTTTTTTTTACTTGCTTAGCATAATGGATAAAATTATAGTCTTTGTAGTCAGAAAGACTTGAGTTCAACTTTCAGCTCTGCCTCTTACCAGCTGCATTCCCTGAGGAACTGAAAATTCTCTTGGCTTGGGCTTCCCAGCTTAAAGAACCTGAATGAAAGCACTTACTCGCTGATGGAGGTGGTATGTGCCCTGTCATAACCACCTAGTAAACTATAAAAGCTCATTTTGGGCAAGTGTTTCATGCCATCCAAATTTATACATAAGAATTGATTTTTAAAAGTGAGTTAGGGGCCTATAATAGGCTCTGAAAAGGCAGAAATACTAAGCCTTTATCAAAAGCATTGTCCAGAAGGTAATTCCAAACTTTTAAAAAAGAACATATCTTTTGAGATATATTTCATATACCATAAAAGTTGGACTTTGAAAGTATACAATTTAGTGGATGATAGTCATGCTGGGCTGTGAACTAAAATGGCCCCTACAGAGTCAATATTCTTGGGAAGTCTCCATGAACTTTCCATTGCTTCTGTTTCCCTTTTGGATAACCACCAAATGTTATTATTGTCTGGGTACAAGTGGATATGTCAGGCCATTTGAGCAGCAGTATGGAATAAGTATTGTCCCTACCTAAGAGGGGCCTAAGTGCCTTCTGTGAAGGAACACCATGTCTGGTATTTTAGGGTATAAAGGTTGCTGTGGTGATATCTGCAG